CCAGACAACATGGAATTCTGGCAGCACCCGGGTTTTGACCAAGTGATACTGTGACCTGCAGAGCTGTGAAAGAACGTATTTCTGCTGCTCTTGGTCATACCTTTATTTGAGGCACAGAGATCTTCCATCCATTGGTTCACTTCCTTAGATGCCTGAAACAGGTTGAAACCAGAAGCTCCAAACCCTTTAGTGGGCAGCAACCCAAGTGTTGAGGTCATCATCTGCTGCCTCCCAGGGTGCACAGGAGCAGGAAGTTCAATGAAACAGAGCAGGAACTCCAGCCAAGGCGTCCTATGCAGGCACCCTAAGCACCACCTTAACCACAGCTCCAAACACCCTCCCTATATTGCTCCATATCGTCCTCATCCATTACAGCCGCAATAGGAAACTAATACATATCTAGTATACACAGGCTTGGGCACCAAGGCACTGCAGGGCTTTCTCGCGTTAGCTTACAAGCTCAGCATGGGTCCATGGATGGGACGAGTCTTCCTTGAAGCCATTTATACACCGGGAGTAAACATTAAATTTATTCAGAAGTACAAACCCAGTTCAACTTGCCCTTGCTCAGATTCACAGAATTCTCCAACCACTCCAACACTGCTTCTCAAGGGAGGACAGTCGGAGTGGGAAGAGACAGCAGTCTCAGCAGACCGCATGCAGTATGAGTCTTTTTGCAGATTTTACAAAAATGTATAACCACTTGAGGATCATGCTAGGATTCCTCCCAGAACTCTGCAAGCAGCCTCTGCAAGGCACCTCCACCAGTGGAGTTCTAACAGGGTCCCTCCCTATCGCCAGGAAACCAGATAACAAAAGGAAAGGATTAGAAATAGAGAACCAGGGCCCGGCAGCACGGCCTAGTGGCTAAGGTCCTCGCCTTGGATGCACCACAATCCCACATGGGCACCGGTTCTATCCCGGCAGCCCCACTTCCCATCCAGCTCCCTGCTTGTGGCCTGGGAAAGCAATTGAGGACAGCCCAGAGCTTTGGGACCCTGCGTGGGAGACCCAGAAGAGGTTCCTGGTTCCCGGCTTCGGATCGGCGGTGCAGCACTGGCCATTGCGCTCACTTGGGGAGTGAATCATCGGAAGGAAGATCTTCCACTCTGTTTCTCCTCCTCTCTGTATATCTGACTTTGTAATAAAAGTAAATAAATCTTTTTTTAAAAAAGAAAGAAAAGAAATAGAGAACCAGAAAGGAGACTTATTAACGCAGGTGAGAAACAGGCTGAACCCAGCCAGGTTGCAGAGCAGCCAGGAAGTATGTTCTGGCCAGGTGTCCTTCGAGGATGGAACTAACAAGAGTTCTTGATGAGTTGGCTGTGGGCTGCTGTGAGGCGGGAGGAGGAGTCAAGGTGGCACACACTTTGGGTGTGAACAGTTGGCGGGATGGGGCTGCTCTGCAAGCACTCCCCCAGTCGGAGGCCCTGAGAGTCCGTGCCACAGCAAGAGACTGAACCGTCTTCATATTCCCTTCTTTTTCTTCTTTCTTGGCCATTGCTTCTCTTGTTGGCATGTCTTCTCCCTGCTTCTGCTTCTCAAAGGAAACGCTTTTCCCCGCTCCCCCGTGGCTTTTCTCACCTCATCTCAGTTCCTGTCCATGCCTGCCTTGGCTTTGTGCGGCCTTTCAGTGCCCAGTTTGGGATGCAAGAGGTTCCCAGTCTAGCTGGGGATGGTGTAGAGGGACTCCCACACTGAGCCCAGGAAGCTAATGACGTGCCTGAGCCCCGCCTCCACAGCCCCCCACACTCCCCTTACTTCCTGCCTCTGACAGTCGGCTCCTCCCACGGACTGCAGGAGAGAGAAAAGGGAGGGAAGACTTGGGAGATTCAAATGGCAAAAGCTGCACGCCCTCACCCCAACACGGCCTGGGTGTGGGAGTCACATTCCAGTGCAGGTGCTGTGTGTTGGAGAGGAGGTCTTGCAGACCTGGTGTCACTGTCAGTTCCAGAGCCTAAGTCACGTTCTCTGTTGAAAGCGCCAGCATGTGTCCTGGACAGACTGAAAGCATCTACTTCGTACAGAACAATAGTCACAATCTTGACAGTGATAGCTACCACCTGTGCAGGTGGGTGAACCAAGGCGAAGGCTGTCTAAGGTCACCAGGAGAACCTCTGAATTCTGCTCCTTTCCACTCAGCTGCTCTTCTGCCAGAAACACCCCTCCTCCAGCTCTCCTGCAGCCAAGTCCTTTCCCATCTCCTCATCTTTCACAGCTCAGCTTAAATGTCACCTCCTCCTAGAAGCTTTTCTGACCATCTTTTTGGTAGCTCCCCCACCATTCCTCTCTAACTCACTCTGTTCACTTCTCAAAATTTCACATGTTCTGTATTGTTGCTTTTCTCCTTGCTTAGAGGATGTCTGCCCCACTGGGTCTCCTCGGATGACTCACTCTCACTTCTGGAATCCAGCCTAGCAAAGGGCAAAGCCCTGACTGGCTCCTCAGTTAATTCCTCGGTCCAGGCATCATGTATCTTCTACTGCATCCTTGCCCACTGCATTGGTGCCATTCTTATGCACATCATTGGCCGTGCTGGGAAGATCAGAAACCCCACGGTGGAGCAGACACCAGCTGTCCCTGAGCGCCAGGTGACCTGAGCAGCCACAGTGAACAGAATAATCTCTATAGAATTGGTGTGAATCACATTTCCCTGAAAACAAATCACAGACAGTGTGTGTCTGCAAAGAAAACTATTATTTGGAGTTTAATTACTGTCCCCTCAAAATCACAAAGTACAAAGAAGAAACATGCAACAGAGCAAACCTCAGCACATACTGCCACTGGTTCAATCTTGAACTCAATTCTCATCTTAGTCCTTCAACACTAAAGATTGATGTGTACCCGCAAGGTACAACTACCGAGCACAGCCAGGAACACAGGTTCTCACCAGAGGACAGCAAAGGAGGCTGATGAGCACTGGGGAAGACCCCGAGGGAGCGGACCTGGAACTGAGAAGTGAGTAGGAGTTGGAGAGAACGTACCTCTGACTGGCAGGAGAACAGAAAGCCACAGCGCACGGAGAGAGAGCCAGTACAACCAAATAAAGGGTGAACACAAGTTTCAAATAAAAATTCACCAAATTCACCTTCAGAACTGGACCAGCAAAACAGCAAAATGGTTTTGTACCACATGGCACACTCAGCCACCGTCTGCACCCTGAATATTCCCCCAGTGACCAGGCTCTGCCACCAAAGCTCCCAGCAGCTGGGGAATCAACCTCATCCGCCCAACAAATGCTTGCTTCCATCCCTGGAGGAGTGGATATACTGCAAGGGGTTGGGCAGAGGGCTGCAGCGCCTTGGAGGCCAAGGTGGGGAGGAGATCTTTTTGAGGAGCAGAGGAAATATAGGGGGGCAGGATTCCCTTGAAGAAGCAGTGTTGGGGGCAGCATGAGGAATGCATCTAGAGAAGCCTGCACCTTCAGTTGCTCAGAGAGAAGGGGACTTGGAGTTTGCACCAGAAACAGGGATAAGGGGCTAACTCCAGAGGAACTCAGGGGGCAGCATTCAGGGGACAAGCAGCAAGGACACAGGAATGCCAAGAATGACACTGGCAGTGTGAATCCCAGCATTCCCAGGGAAAGGGAAGGAAGGGACACTGGGGACCAACTCTGAGGACATCAACATGGAAGCTGCATTTTTCTCCTGGTGAGCAAATCAGTAGTTCAAAGCTAGAGAGACAGCCGGGTTACGTGGCTCCACTGGATGCTCTCAGTATAGTTCTGAAGCTTTATTAACTATAGATTGGATGAAACTTCTGGAGGTATACTTGTCAAGTAGAAGCTTTTGCATTCATGGTATGTTCTAGAAGCTGTTCTTGTCCTATAGGGTAGCAACAGTCATAGGTGCAATGTTATTTAATCTAGTTAATTTAAATGTAAATACCTTCATATGGCTACTATTAGACAATATGGTTCCATGCTGTATTGGCGATTTACAACAAATCTGGAGGAAATAGACTAGCCCAGTGCTCTACAACCTCCCCTAATCCAGGCTGGAGGAATTCTGAAGGACCAAAATAGTAAACAGCTTCTTCAACAAATAAATTCCAAGGATTAAAATGGATAAATGGGCCTGGTGCGATAACCTAGTGGCTAAATCATTGCCTTGCAACTGCTGGGATCCCATATGGACACCAGTTTTTTGTTTCAGTTGCTCCAAACTCCATCCAGCTCTCTGCTTGTGGCCTGGGAAAGCAGTGAAGGATGGCTCAAAGCCCTGTGACCCTGCTCCTGTGTGGGAGACTCAGCTCCTAGCTCCTGGCTTCAGATTGGCTCAGCTCCAGCAGTTGCAGCCACTTGGGGAGTGAACCAGCCAACAGAAGATCTTTCTCTGTGTCTCTCCTTCTCTCTGTAAATCTGTCTTTCCAGTAAGAATTAATAAATCTTGAAAAAGAGAGAGAGAGACATAGTGGGGAAACTATAAATTAAGGGATAATTAAAAGACATATTCAGTCAATCACAATGTGTGGATCTCCTATATCCTTATGCAAACAGCAGGAACCCAAAAAGAAACTATTGCAAAGTGCTACTTACTGCACAAATAACAACGTGAGTACCACCCATGTAACTGATGGTATTAAAAGCTGATGCAATTTGATTGTTTCTTGAAAGTTCTTATTTTTCATTGGAAAATATTAGCAAACGATATTATACAATGCCTGTTGTTTTCTTCAAATGTTAAAGGAGGCAGAAGCAAAAGGCATAAGGGACAGCAAGATTATCTATGGCTGCAAGACCAGAATTGGATTAACTTAGGTTCCAAAACCACACTGACTCCTACTGATATCAGAACCTTCTCTGGATGAGAAGTTTAAAATTAAATTCAACAGAATTAAGTGACCTTAGAGGTAACTGCTGCCTTGCCAGACCACTGTGTCCTCCAGCGTGACTTCCCTCGCCCTGCCTCCAGCAGGTGTACACCAAGAACAGCTCTGCTATCCAATAAGAATAAGGGAAGCAACATACAGCAGAAGGAGGGATGCTTTTTTATTCGTACCTGTAAGACATCAGTCTCTGGAGAATAGTCGTTCCTCGCTGTTTCCAAACTTGCTGTGCTGGTGCCTGCAGTTGCTCTAACTTGGCTAGAAGACATCTTTGATGTCCAGTTTCAGCTCTCCATCTTCCCCACCCTCGGCTCTGGAATTGGTTGACTGAGGCATTTTCATTTTTTCAGGCAGTGCGGTGCTGGCCCTGGGCTCTTGCATGAGCGCTCCGTGTCTTTATCAGCCAAGGAAAAGGGGCAGGTGCAAAGGGAGAGGGGCAGAAGGAAAATGCAAACATGAAATGAAACAAAGTCAATCAAATGAGTTAGAAAACTGAGATCCCACCCCATGCAATGAATGAAGAACAACCGTGAGAGGCTGACGCCCTGTCTCTGCAGTGATCCCTGGACTACATGTCTGCAGATCCTAGAAAGGATACAGACAACTGTCCTTCTCTCTCCCTTGGCAGAGGGTTCTCAAGGAAGGTAAGTGTTCTCATCCACTTCCCATCGCCAATAGCACTAACAGCTCTGCCACCAACTGGGGAAGTTATAAAGGAAAAGAGGTTTGTTTTGGCTCATAGTTCCAGCCCTTGGGCAAGGGACTGTGTCTGTGATGGCTTTGCCAGCAGAGTTCTGAGGAAGCACAAGGAATCACATGGCAAGAGACGGGAAACCTGGCTAAACTGCCATTTGCGATAACCCATTCATCCAGTCATGAGAACCCCTTGAAGTTTCCATTTTGGGCCGGCGCTGTGACATAGCAAGTAAGGCCATCACCTATAGCATTGCCATCCCATATGGGCACTGGTTCAAGTCCCAGCTGCCCCATTTCAGATCCAGCTTCCTGCTAATGTGCTTGGAAAAGCACCACAGGATAGCCTAGGTCCTTGAGCCCACAAGGTTGACTCAAGAAACTCTTGGTTCCCGGCCCCTGGCTTCAGACAGGCCCAGCTCTGGCCACTGCAGCATCTGGGGAGTTTCACCTAATCCTTCATTTCAAACAAATATATAAATCTTTAAAACTAAAGAAGGTTTCCACATCCTATTGTCTTAAAATGGCATCAAACTTCAGCAGGAGTTTCAGAAGGGACAAATCATCAGTCTACGCCATGGTGTTCTCTGGTCTGTGCACGATTCAGAGCAGATAGATCACTTACCAGGTCACTGTGTCAGAAAAGCTACCTAAGGTGCTGAGTGCAGGGCAGACGCCTGCCTGGGAACCACCTGTTCTCACCTCACCACCAATGCGTCTTGGTCTTGAGCAGATTGCAATGCAGCTGGTCAAATCCAATCCCTGGAACACAAAGCGGTTTTTGCATGTTCGGAAGATTTGCTAAATATTAATTTAACTGATTTAAAGATACGCATGCCTACAAATATCTATGTTTGTACATATGTAAATATGTTTATGCCAAAATTGCTGCCAAAACAGCATATGGAAAGCTGTGTAATATGCAGAAGAACATAAAACAAGAGATGCTCCACTGTTAAAGTCATTCGTCCAATTAATCTTGGAAAATAACCCACCCACATCGGAAGAGGATGTTGTCTGTACTTTGGTCTGTGGTCATCAGGTACTATGTGCCACGTCATCTCCCATTTGCTTCCTGTATCTCCGATTATACTTTTCACATCTTTGTGAATCTCTTTTTTTTTTTTAATTGTATGATACAGATCCTATAGGCTCTGGAATTTCCCCCATGGCTCCACTCAAGTCCCCTTCTTCCACTAATTTCCCCCATATTATTGCAGTAATATAGTCCTTCCTTAACAGTTATATGTCCATCATTCTGCTATTTAACTGTATCCTGACATTGAAGGTATGGACAAAGGCAGAGAGTCCAACATTCTATTGTCAAGATGTTTAACAGTTCCATTGGGAGTCCATCTTTGATTTGGAAGTAAAGATGCATATCATATTGTATCTTCACATCTCAGTACGATAGTCTATTACACCACTCCTCTAGATGACTGCATGTATGTGCATGGTTACCTCTATATCTACTGAGCTTGTATTTTGCATAAAGGTTGCATTATGTCAAAGAGAACATATATCATTTGTTGTTTGGGGATTGGCTTGTTTCACTGAGCATAATGGTCTCCTGTTGGGACCATCTAGTTGCAAATGGTATAATTTCACTCTTTTTAGTGGCTGAGTAGTATTCCGTGGAATAGACACGCCACAGTTTCTTTATTCACCCTTCTTTTGGAGTGTTTCCATGTCTTTGCTATTGTAGATTGTCTGCTGTGATTTAGGAGCCTAGGTCACTTTCTCATATGCAGATTTCACTTCTTTTGTATATATTCTCAGAAGTGGGATAGCTAGGTCATACAGCAGAGATTATCTGCCCACTTTTCCAGTGGCTTCTCCAATGTTCGTCAGACCCCTAGCTGCCCTAATCTTCTGACCTCCTCAGCATGTTCAGCCACTTGTGTCTGCTTGCAGACCACCTGTGCATCTGTTCATCTCCAGTACACATTACAGATCCTGACCATCGCTGACCATGCAGCTGCTCACAGTCACCTCCTCATGTGCAAGCCTCCTGTGTCCTGCACACTTTCTTCTCTGGGGAGATCTGCTTCCATGGAGCTCCTGACTCCTTGTGGTTTTTCCATAACTTCTCGTTTCCAGGATTCCCTGGTACTTTAAGACAGCTCAAGTTCTGCTACTTCCCAGGTGTCCAACTGGCTCACAGCAAACTCATGCATGCTTGATCCCCTGAAGGCTGCTCTACTCCTCTACTCACATAAGTGGAAGGATCAGATGGGTCAGTCTGTTCCATTAGCAGGTTTGCTGCCTGGTCACCCTCCCAGCTCTGTGAATAGGGAGCAGTGAGCAAGGCTCAGCCTTCGGCTTCGGAGGATGTTTACCCTTCCCAGTGTGCACTCTTTTAAGGTCCACACATCAGTTCCCTGACAATAGGAAAGTTCTCAGTTCCCTATCCAACAGGTAGGTTATCACGCCCTAGGAGGAGTTAATAATCCACAGGCAAGTCTCATTCCAGAGTCCCCAGTATTCATGTATCCGTCCCAAGGCTCTTGCCTTCTTCACCCCGTGCGCTGTACTTGGAGCCTTCTGGGGAGCCCATTCTCCACTCGTCACAGGAGCTCCTGTCCTCCCACTTATCACCTTCATTCTGTTTAGCCATGGAAGTGAGATGTGATTGCCAGCCAAGAACAGAAAACAGAAAAGTCAAAGCCCTCCGCTTCAATAGTATCTACTCAGCATTAGCATTAATAAACGTTACGCTTTCAGTATGCAGCAATACAGAATTTGGAAGGGAAATGCCAAACGGTAGGAAAGAGTGAAACCTGAAGAGGGAAAGCCTCCTTCTCTCCCCACCACCTCTTTCTGATCTCACTTCTTCAACGTCACTTCAGGCAAAGGTCTCTTACAGTCCTTCCTCATGCTCCGGGCACACTTACACGCCAGTGTCATGACTGTAAATACACACACGTGTGCTCCCCGCAGATGAGATCCTACCTGTGCTGCTTTGTTTTTTTAACTTAATAGATTTTGGTGCCTTCCATGCGAGCACAAATGGATCCTGCCTTATTTACAGAGGCTACATCATCCGATGAGTGTCAACACACCCCACGGTGTTCAACCTGTCCCTGTGATGGCTGTCTAGGCAGTAAAACCCCATGTTGACCATTTCAGTTGTGATCGTTGCTTTCTGAAGTCAAGTTGTTGAGGCTTTAGCACCAGGTGCTACCAGGATAGTCTGTACATTTGGTGTACATTGATGGTCAATCAACTTGAACTAAAACAGATTTTCCCTTGGTGAGCGGGATGACCCCATTCAATCCGCAGAAGGACTGCACAGCAAAAACTGCTCCCAGGAAAGAAGTGCTGTCTAAAGACTGTACTCGCAACTCCGCCACAGCTTGCTCATGACAAACTGCCTCAGTATGTCAGAGAACTTCTAGAAGTTCTAGAAATTCTAGAAAAAGAAAAGTTTGAGAAAATGAAATACAGAGATAAACATATTTTGGTGAAAAAATATTTTCAATCTATGCATAGTGCTTTCATTATATGCATTTTTCATCAACTTTCTGAAGGTCCCTTGTGTGTAGATATATTTATACACAGGATGCATTTTATATGTATTTATATAGAAGGGTCAGGTACATTTTATGCAGCAGGATATATACATATAAATATATGCTGTGAATTTATTTGGTGTTTGTTTTCCTGTAATGAAGAGTGGGATGAAATGGATCAGAGAACACTTCATATACAAAACTCAAATATTGTTTTATGAAACTTCTGATGCAGCATGTCAGATTGTGTGCAATAATCTCTCTTTCATTAAAGGTTAAAATTTCATAAGTTTTAAGACATGTTTTCAGATGTGTAAATACCATCCTGGTTGCAATATGAAAGCTTTCTATGACAGCAGAAAATACCCTGATGCCCCGTGCAGTCAGCCCCTGCACCTCATCTTCATTCCTGACAAACACTCGGTTGTCTTCTGTTACTTCTAGAGTTTTGCTTATCTCAGTGTTTAACATATATATGAGTATATATATTTGCAGTAGCAACAAACAGGTAACATACCATGGTAAGTTATGTGTATGATGTATGATGCATGATGTACATGTGCAGGAATTTAAAATCTGTTTTATACATGTTCATATCTTTAATACTTAATTCATATCTAACAGCACTGTAGTTACTTATTTTTTTGGAAGAAAAGGAGTGAATGCACCAACTTGTGGTGTCACATGTAGCTCTTCTTGGGCCCAGCATGGTGGCCTAGCAACTAGAGTCCTTGTCTAGAACACACCAGGATCCCATACAGGCGCAAGTTCTAATCCCGGCAGCCCCGCTTTCCATTCAGCTCCCTGCTTGTGGCCTAGAAAAACAGCCAAAGATGACCCAAAGCCTTGAGACCCTGCACCTGCATGGGAGACCCGGAAGCAGTTCCTGGCTCCTGGCTCCAGATCAGCACAGCTCCTGTCGTTGCGCTCACTTGGGGAGGATTTCCTCTCTGTCTCTCCTCCTCTCTGTATATCTGACTTTGTAATAAAAATAAATAAATCTTTTTTAAAAAGAAAGCCACTGTTACTCATTTTTCTATGAACTTTAACTACCTGTTCATATCCTCCACTTTTCCCTTGAGTTGTTCACGTGTCTCCTTACTCCTCTGTAGGAGTCTGTATCAGAGCTAAGAGGAACTTGGCTATCTTCATAGGTCTCATGTGTCAGCAGCATTTTTTTCAACCAAGGTTATTGTCTATCTTGTGACTTCACGGTAGCTTTCCCAATGCAGCAAAATTATTATGATAACATACTTGAATATCTCTTTTCTTTAAAAAAGAAGAAGAAGTGTTTTATACTTAATTGAAAAGCAGAGCAACAGAGAAAGGGGTTGAGACTGGAGATCTTCTGTTACTCCCCAGACACAATAGCTAGGACTGGGCCAGATGAAAGTCAGGAGCCAAACTCCATCTGGATCACCCACATGGGTCATCTTCTCTTACCTTCCCAGGTGCATCCGTGGCGAGCTACTTTAGGAGCAGAAAGCAGAACAGCCTAGACACAAACTTCACCTGCTCTGCAGCAGTTCTGGTCCCCAACTCTGATTTTATAAAACAGATTCTATTGAATTTTGTGTCATGTTAAAGAAGACAAGATTCTTTCCTTTGGGGTATTATTTAAATAAAATCTCCCTTGTTTTCTTTTCATACTTTCACAGGATTTTTTTTTTCCTAATTTAAATCTTCGCTCCATCTGGAAGTTCTTTGGTGGAGAGAACTAAGCAGAGCTCCAAACTTTGTTTTAGATGATTCCCATGTGTCCAAACATTACACACTCATAAAATAATCTCCTCTCCCCTCTCTCATTTGAAATGTCCTCTCCAACACAAACTAAATTTTTATGTATGTTTGAGTCTATTTCTGGACTCCCACATTGCTCTGTGGGTCTGTCTGTCTGTGCATGCAGCATTAGCAACTGCTTAGTTCCTTTTAGCTCTATGTCTTTCAGGCCTACACTACCTTTTGCTTTTCAGGATTTACAGGATCAGCCTCATCTGTTTTGTCATATCAACTTCAGCATGCCTAATTTCAAGGGAAAAAAAATCTATTTTTGAAAAGGCCTGATGTTACATTAAACACTAGTTTAGGAAGTTGAGTAGGTTGAAGCGGACATGCTCACAAATGTATCACGTATTTTCCCTTGTGTTCCTGTGTAGTCCTCAGTGGCAAGTTCAAGTACATCATACACCTGTACTTCATGGACATCATATCCATAACTTACCATGGTATGTTACCTGTGTGTTGATACTGCAAGTGGATTTTACTAGATTAAAACACACTAATTTTGCCACTCAGATGCTTCCCTGTGCTCCGTTGTTGGTAATGCTGTTTTTAATTTGAGTGTCTTAGATCTTGTGGTTATAAAGTCACGTCCACACTTAACAATGGTGTCTCCTCCTCATCACAGTTTCTATCTCTTACTTCTTTCTTCTTTCTCATCATCAGCTGTGCCTTCTGACATTGTCCAGTTGGGACAGTGATTTTCATGAGGGAGATGAAGTGAGGACACAAAAGGAAAGAACTGACTGGGACAAGTGGGCAAGCAGATCCCCACAGAAATGCCAGGTACCCACAGAAATGAGTCTCGCTCCACCCTCCTCATTTCCCAAGCTGTAAAATAGTTCTTCCCTCACAATCTCCTAGACCCAAGATCCCATTTTCACATCAGGAAAGTTCACCGTTGCTCCAATTCTAACCACAGCCCTGCCACAGCACCTCAAGTTCCCCATCTGCCGAGCAAATTCATCGTGACTTCTCTGCTACCTCCTGGGCATGGGGGCATGGAAACCAACATGCACAAACACCAAAACAATCAGGAGGAGCTGCTGTCCCCAGGGGGTTTGGTCCCACTGATGGGCCCAGTAACAAGGCTCCGGCACTCCACACAAATGAAAACTGAACAGATTTAGGCAGTGGAAAGAGCCATGCTGCAGGCTCTGTCGTTTTAACTTCATCTAGGGCTGATACAACGGCCTCTGGAGACCTGGACGGAACTCCTGTCCGCAGAACAGAAAGCTGCTCAACCAGGAAAGGAAAATGACTGGGGACAGCCTAGGGCTTCCAAGGACAGGACTGTATTTTTCAGCTTGTGCTGGGTGAGCAGTACCTTGACAGCCCAGGGCAAACACTTGCTGCAGCCTGTGTCAAGGCCTGCCAGGGCTCCTGCCAATCAGGCATTCTAAATACTGAGACCAGATCTCAGCAGGGCGAGGAACTAGACCACAAAAATTGAGGCAGCCACTCGCAACAGGCACAGCCACTTTTGAAAGTACAATAACAAATAACATGCCAGAAGTGGACAAAACATATCTGCCATAATTAGGAATGTAAAGGACACTGTTCTTTTGCAAGCTGATAAGGAAATGACCAATACAAATGGGCAAAGACCACAAAGTCAAGCAAGCGCTTTTTTTTTTACTTGCAATTTCTCCATGTGCTTCAAGGATAACGGCTATTACCTGAGTAATCAGGAAAGAACAAGTTTATTCATCTCGACAGCTGTTTCTACCCAGGCCTGAGGCCTCTTTCTCGCTGTTAAATTCTCCAACAGAACAGCTCCACTGTATATTTCAACAGCAGAAGCTGAAACTACTTGACACGTGAATTGGAAACCACCCTGGGCACTGCAAGTGGGCCCCATGAGGATGAAGAAGACAGAGCAATGACGGACAAGCGTGATGGTGACAAGATGGGCTTCTGTTGTCAGTGTTCCCCAATTATCCAGCTGCTCAGCTGCTTCATGACTTTGACCATCTAACCAGGTTCCCTAAGGTTCTTGCCTTGGCTGTAAACTGGGGTAACACTGTTTGTATTTCAAGACGATTGTACAAAGGAACCAAGGTCATGTGTGGGAAAGAATCAACACTGTGCTGAGCACACGGAAAATACTCAGCGAACATACCATTCAATCAGCTGTGTGGACATTAGCAGGCAGTTTGTAGGACTTCCCATGTGACTTGGGCAAGTCAGGTCACTCCCGGTTCCGATGATGTCAGAAGCCTTTCCCTGTCCGGACAAAGCCTGTGACTTGCTGTGGGTTGCCCAGGGCTCAGCAAGGTCACAGCTGACCCTCCCTTGTGGGGTTTCGGCGACACATGTGCAGATGCCATAGCGTGAGGCTCCCTGGTTGGGAGCTTCTGTCTGCAGCTGTCTTCCTGCTCCTTCCTTGTTTAGGTCCCTGGCCATTTCCATGGAGACCAGCGCAGAGCACAAGGACACTGCAAGTCCTTCCTCCAGGAAAGGCTACTCCCTTTCCCAGGGGAGCCCACACTCCAGTGACGCCATTTCCTGCATCCCTGTAAACCCAAGGGATTTCCCTCCCCAGTTGCCTGTGAGCTGTTTTAGGGAAATGGAGCCAGGCAGGCCCCGCAGGTGAGGTCCTAGGGAGCCAGCCCTCCCTCAGTGTGGCTCTGCCAACACCCAGGCAGCTTTTATCTAGTTGCCTGCAGTCTCCTTCTCTCTAGCAGAGAACTGTTATTCTCTGGATACAGGAGAAAATTTCCACCATCCTTACCTTGGGAACTGAGACCTCAAGAGTCTCTTTAGGAGGAGGCCTGCAACGTACCATTTCCACTCTGTGCAGAGCTCAAGGCTGTGTGGGACACGCCTCTGGAAATCTACCCACCTCATCAACCACATGTCCTGCTCTGGCTTCTGAGCACCCAAGTCACACACATCACTGACACTCACCCCTGCTTCAGGACCTTAGGACATGTAGTTACCTCTGTTCCAAGCTCTGTTCATCAAAACCCCTACAAGGGCAACCTGTAAGATCTGCCCTCCTGGTCAATTTATAAGTAGTTCCATCTGGCCCAGACACAGTCTACTGATCAAATTGCTTTGGTGGTGGTGTTTTAGTGCTTATTTTGTCTACTTGAAAGGTAGAGCAACAGACAGAGAG